AACAGAGACGTAACAATATATTATGAAAATAAGTTAACCGCAGAAGTTGTTTTTTTTTCGCTACATTCCTTTTAATATGTCTATTGCGGCTCGAAATCAGAGGTGTGTAAGCAATAGCATTTCAGATCTATCTTTCGTCTCCCGCAGTGAACAAATTAAGAGGAATATGTTTAAAAAAACAGCATTTGCTGTTAACATGTTATCATAACAATTATTAGACCTATTAATTTTACAATATTTCGCCGGCTTTCGGAGTTTAAATAGTAATTTTAAAAGAATAATTAATAACTAATTATTATGAACTAATGTGCAAATCGACCCAATTAGTGTTTAAAAGTAAGAATTATCCAAAGAAGTAAAACAAATTATAAATGTTACTGCAAAATCTTATAAGAACTGTAAGTTAAAATACCTTTGCAATAATACGTACCATTTAATAAGTTTCCGCATTTTCTGGAGAAACTGTATACATATTTTAATATAATATTAACTACCAAAAGATAGCGCTTTTGAATCAATGCAGTAGGTTTTTTGGTCGCTATTACATCTCCTGATTCAGTTTTAGCTGCATAAAGAACTATGCTGAGTTAGTATCTTAAATGGCGTACGAGAAATCAGCTTTTTACGCCCTAATATTTATTGTGTCATCGTCATCAACATGAGAAACATCGAAAGAAGGAGCAGTACTGCTGATTATCGGTATACACGTCAGATGACATGTTTAGAATTAGTTAATAATTATATGTGAACTTAATGACATAACGGCCGGCCGGTAAATCTAACCGGTTACGGTGTTTGAGTGACAAAGACTTGAAATAATAATAGTTTAACAACAATATTACTACTAATATCCACTCATCATACTGGTGCCGCATAGTTTAAGTATTTTATTTCACAGAAATCAGCTGTTTATATTTTTGTGTATAAGTACACTCTAGTAATAATTAGTCAGTTAATGATAAGAAAGGTGATAATATTAATAAGTAAAGGACATTTGTCTCGGAAGTGACGTGAGCTTAAGCCTGAAGGTTTATTCGGGCCTGGAAGTAGCCGTTAATGTTATTATCATTTAAAATACCATATTAGATTATTACCACTACAGTACCGGGATGACAACTAAGGAGTTGTACACAAAGGTAAGTCACCTTTTTTATGTTATAATCAGTTGTTAATTTTTTTATACGATCATTATTTTTATGTCATTATGTACGTGAATTTTAATTGTATTTTGTTAATTTTCTTCAGACAAAGCATTTAAAATTCCAAAGCTTTGTAATAATAGTGCTCATTATAAGTATGATTTAAATGTAACCTGTTGTACAATTTCCACTAATGAATAATAAATTAATATGCTTCTTCCTGGTTACTGGCATTATAATTTGTAGCTGTGTGTGTATATATTCAATTTGTAATTAATTGTATTCAGGGGTAAATTACACAGTGAAAATAAAGTAAGAAAATGTGAAACATTTTTTTCAGCTAATTTGTATTTTCTAATGTAAACTCTACTTACAACATAAAAATATATGGTGCTGTAAGTTGTAACACTGAATAAGTACTATTGCTTATATCAGATAATATGCAAAAATATACCTAGTATCTTATATTATTATTACCTTTCTATTTGTACCTTAGAAGGTAAGTATAATAACAATACTTTAACGTGATGCTTGCTCATAATCAGTTCTATAATTTCTCCACACATTTTAATCTGTGCAGCAGTGTTAGTTGGATGAATTATTACAGATCATATACAAACATCTGCATTAATTGTACTTACACAGGTTGTGTTATAAATCTAAATAAACACATTAAGATAACTTTAAATTTCTGTAAATTTGTTGCTTTTTTTTAACAGACAATTCAATCAACTTTTTTAAGTCATGTCGATAAATGTAACCAGTTGTTGCATCCTACTTCAGAAGTGAAATTACATTAAATAATGCAGGAACATGCATTTGAGGTACACGAATTTAAAAGGATGTAGCTTAGGTGGGAAGTTTATTGGTGGTATTAAAGATAAAGATATAGTTCTGAATATCTGTAAAGTTTTAAACCCTTTGCTGGGCATTTGACTGTGTTAAAAACATAACACATAGTATTAAATGTTAGGGATCTCTTAAGAGCATTTTTTATATTGTTGTTCTGGCATAGAAAGCTTTATCTTTCAATTGTATAAGACTCTTTATGGGTTTTTTAGTTTCTTTAAAATGTTGAGCCTTAATTCCCACATTTAGATCAGAAATTCTCTCTGGTGACAGTTTCTAGTTTATTGATACAGCTTAGTAGGAAGTAGAACGATTCAGTTTCTTCTGTAACTTGTAGAAGATATCAACATGAACAGTCTCATTTTGACATTTTCCTGACTTTTGTGTTTATAATCCAAATTGGTTTAATGCTTGGCTTATAAATATAGACCAGTAAATGATGTATCTCATCAATTTCAAATTTAATATTTTAACTTCATAGAGAATACTTTTTGTAGTGATGGATCTTGTACAGCAAAAATGTCACCTTACAGGAAAGTTGTATATATATACTTACATGTGTTTATAAACTTTAGATATGGGTTGTATGTAACATATTGACTGGTATAAGAAATATGAGAAGTATATGAAGAGATGCTTTAAGATTTGGATTTGTTGTGAACATAACTTGCATAAAGTCAAGGCAATAGAAAACAAGCTATTTAATTACATACAATTACTTCTTCTATATATATAGGCTAATCTGCTGCTCTATATAGTTTGTTTTTGTCTTCCTCACATAGTGTTCTTCCAGTGGAAATTACTCATTGTAGTCAAACTTGATTTTTTGGTTTGTACAAATCTTATCTAGATGGTTTTCAAAAGAATGGATTTACTTCACTTTTGTTGCATAATTTTGGATTTTGTTCCATATTTTTAGTATTCTCTGGCTAAAGATTCATTTCCAACAACTTATGTTTATTTCCATGTGTTACTAAGTCATCTAAGCAATGTGCTGTTGGTAGTGTCAAGGAAAATAGGAATATAACTTTAATTGACAGGAGTATCAAGCACAAGTCTAAATAGGTTAAAATTTCATTTTACAGATCATTGGTTAGGCCACATTTGGAATATTGTGTTAATTCTTAGGCTACCTACCTTAGGTAGAACAATGAATTTTTAGAGAGTGTTCAGAGGAGAGCTATTAGGATGATATCTGGGATGGTAATATGAGAACAGGTTAAAATCTCAGAAATTGAATTCTCTTGAAAAAAGAAGAGTCAGAAGAGGATTTTATTGAGGTGTTTAAGGTTAAGGGAATTGTTAGTGTTGATGCAATTTTATTATATATATATATATAGTTAATGTTAAAAATGGTGGACACAGATATACAATTTGGCAGAGCGGGAGTCATCTCCAGCTAATACAGTTTTATTTTTGGCCTTTGAAATGGGTTGCCTACAGATGTGGTGGATGTAGTAAATTTAAAGAAGTTCATTGAAAGGCTTGGTAATTATTTAAATGATTAGGTCTACCTTTGAGTTTCTTTTATTTTTAAGCTTATTGTACTTTTGTGAATAGGATGGCCTAGAGGACCACCAGGTCCTTTGTTTTCCTTAAATTTTGTTGTTTTTTAACCAGTTTTTGACACAAACTATCATAGATGCAGAAAATGATTTTGTGTGTTTAAATCCCATCTTTTAACTTTTAAAGTATAATGTAGTAGGGTTTAGTCTTTTTTGTAGTTCATATCTTTAAGGTTGGCATTAATTTAACTTCTTTGTATATTTTCTATTATTTCAATATTCCTTATTTTTTTTAAGATCTGTTTTTGTTATCTACATTGACAATATTGATAATGGCATAATTTGTAAATTAGCAAAGTTTACTGATGACATTAAACTTTTAGTAAGATCTGACAAGAGCATTAAAAACTTTGTTCACCCAAGTAACTTTACGTTTATTTTGCCACTTATGCAAACTGGGATAAAAATTTGCTCCCATTTCTATTGTCCATTTATTCATCCATACAATTTGTTCAAATCTGGTGAGCAAAATGTTGTATTGGAGGTACTAGGGCTAGAAACAAAATACGTGTGCTAGTTGGCTCAATCAAAAATTGTCTTCTCTGCTTTCATGTTTATGCTAATCTGATATTGATATGTGAGGTTCCTTTTAACTGGTTGATTGATAGACAGCTAACCTGTTTCAAAACATCTTTTGAGGCTAAAGATATCTGAAAACCTCTATGCATGAACTGAAACTGCATTGGTAGATAATTGAAAAGGATAAGTATATAGATAGGCTTTAAATTTTTCACCATTTGCTTTGATCGTATGCACTTTTTGCCTATTTATTCGGAATTACATAGAATAGACATTCAGATATTATTTTTATGTGCACAATCATTTAGATGGAGCATAAATTGAACACAGATAGACATGATCTGATGAAAATTGGAGAGAGCAAGTATTCAACAAAAGTCTCAAACTTGTTGTCAGCAAATAAGGACTTTGAAATTACCTTTAGAGTGACAAGTTGTTATTTTACATTAGTCCAAAAATCTGGTCGTGTATAATACAGAATTTATAGTTCTCTTAGAGTATTACATTCATTTTATAACATTCATGTTTGGTACATATTAAGCCTAAAGACTTTCTTTGCAAAAATCTGACGTATTTTATTTCATTTAATTTTTATGACATAGTAAGATATCTTTGTACTTAAATGCAATCCTAATAACTTGTGATAGCAAAAAAAATATGTAATAACATGTCAAGTCAGAGGTTATGTTTATCATATTTCATAAAATAAAAGATTACAACAGCTCTTGTGTATTATTGGTCTAGTGTATTATCTGTGAAAACATTATTATTATTATGTCTCTTTATTAGCTAAAATTAACTTAAGAAATGTTTGTCACAATGCATAAAATTTGTTTAGAAATGAAAACTGTAGTCTAGGAGGGTAGACAGAAGCTGATACATAATATTCCATATATACCTGTTAAAAGACATTGTAATCAATTGTCAGTAATTTATCCTAGTGGAAACTGACTTGTATAAGTATGGCCTCAATATTTCATGACATGACTAGTTTAATCCTCACTGGTATAATCATTGCAATTATAAACATTTATATATAGTATCCATCTAAATATTTCATGAAATGACTACTTTTATGTTAAGTGGTCAGTATGAGTGGTAGAATTTCTACTTTTATTGATCATTCTCTCAGTAAATAATGTTGAAAGGTTGTCCTAAAATAGCCTAGAATGCAACAGAGAGAACATAGGTTTCTATGGCATTAACTTTAGGGAGTAGGTCCCAGGATCAATCAAAAGTTTCACTTGGTGTTTTATCTCTGTGTATACTGTCAGACTTACTTTACTTTTAATTGTTTTTTTTATTTATCTTATTATCTAGAGTAACACCTATATCTTCCTCATTAGCTGATTGTTTTAAACCCCTTCTTTCATCTGATTTCATCCATGTCCTTGTACAGATTATAATGTCTTATATATTTTGTTTGACTGACTATCATGTATTCACAGTTATCAGAGTGAAATATCAAAAGTCATTTGTCTGATCATTTCTGTAGTTCATTCATATCAAAATGAAGGAGTTAAATGTCAGTTATGCTGTCATTATCCTTCAGATATATTTTACTACTGCAAATAAGTAAACAGTAGACTAAACAATGCCTGGAAGATCATTTAAGTAGATCATAAACCAAATAAACTTTGGTATTCTACTTGTACCTCCTGTCAGTCTGATGCAGTTCCATTTACCTAGGTGTGTTGCCTTTTGACTACAATTTTTTATACGTCGGATAATTTCAGAACATATATTTTAAATGTTTATCTGACTTATCAGTCTCTTATGTGGTATAGTATTAAATGCTTTCATGAAATCCATATAAATTGCATCAAGACCCTTTACTTAGTTGATCATATTAGTTCATTCATCTGTCACTTTTAAAATAACTTTAATCTTGTAGGTCTTCCATTTATAAAAACAAACTACATGTTAAGTGAAGTGTTTACTTTCATATGATTTATCTCTTTTCTGATAAAAACGTTCCATAATTTTAGGTATAATACTTGTAAGGTTCACTGGTCTGTTGTTTCCTGAATCCCTTCTGTTTCCTTTTTTAATTAAACTAAAGCT